TTGAAAAGAAAATGAATCTGATTGGATGATGACTCTGTCTTGCTGACGATGAAACAATGGGTGACAAATAACAAACTGGTTTGATATTATAAATTCTGTATGCAATCAATATCTTGTCTTGGAAGATTTTACTCAAGATATGTATAAAAACTGTAGCCTCTATCGTGTCTACAAGACAAATATGACACGTCAAGGGCAGTAGCTACAGAAAACATTCATCAAACATGAACCAAAATAAAAATTAAACAGATTTCATCAATATATACATACATACCAAGTTTCATCAAGATCAGATAAAAACTGTAGTCTCAAATATGTTTATCAATGCAATTTGATTTTATTTACTGTAGCCCCTATCGTGATATTTTCATAATATGTGGCTGACCTGTGTTTCTCAAAAGGGTTTTATAATTATAATTTGAAGTAAGTGTGATATCTCAAGATGAGATATAACAAGTGGTTTATTTGTTTGTGTGAGAGATCAGGGTTTAAAGTTTACCTTCGTTCACTGTAACACAATCTTTATCAACTTCATCTTGTTTAACATCAGAAACTACAGGTTTTATTGACGTTGGTGTTTTTCTAGTTCTCTCCCCTTTATGTAACATTGGTATAGACCAACCCGGTGCTGTTGTTGGATAATCTAAAAAAAAACAATAAAAATATATTTAAAGATTGTAATATTGTCTTCAATCTCTTGTTTTTCATGTATATGTTTTTTGCTTGATCGTTTTAAGTAAGATATATGGTTTAGCTGTTCTATTATTATCTACTGACAAGTTATAAAATATCATGAAGGTGATTGTCAGTTTGACAGAGTGATTGTTGTTAGTTATTAAAATACACATTTAAAAACATTCATCTACCTTCAGTTAAAAACAATTCAGTGTGGCATGACCTTCATCACAACGTTAATGTTATTTGATTTAACATTTGAATATTCTGTGTTAAAATCTAATAGAACACAATAACATTACCCATAAACAGATAGATTAAATATATACAGTGTTTCATATATTATAAATAATTTCTTACCCAAACAATCTCTGAGAGTTTCGTTAATTTTTAAAACGGTGAGAGAAACTCCGGCCATTTCTAACGAAGTCATCAGACTTCCACAATAAACTCTTTCAACATGAAGACTTTTCTCTTCTACAACATAAATAACATTTTCATAAAATAACTAACTAATACCTTTCTCTTCTACAACATAAATAACATTTTCATATAATAACTAACTAATACCTTTCTCTTCTACAACATAAATAACATTTTCATAAAATAACTAACTAATACCTTTCTCTTCTACAACATAAATAACATTTCATATAATAACTGACTAATAACTAAACCACTTCTTACAGATAGAACACAGATAAAATGTTTGACTGATTTCAACCAACTGATACTTGATCTCATCTTTTGACAATAATTTTACAATGATATTAACTTAGGTTCACAAGGATCCTTTCTATCAGCTGGTCAAACCTCTTGGTAATGATTTTACAAGGATAACAACTTAGGTTCACAAGGATCCTTTCTACCAGCTAATCCTTGGTCAAACCTCTTGGTAATGATTTTACAAGGATAACAACTTAGGTTCATAAGGATCCTTTTTACCAGTTGATCTTTGCCCAAATCTCTTGGTAATGATTTTACAAGGATAACAACTTAGGTTCACAAGGATCCTGTCTACCAGCTGGTCCTTGGTCAAACCTCTTGGTAATGATTTTACAAGGATAACAACTTAGGTTCATAAGGATCCTTTTTACCAGTTGATCTTTGCCAAAATCTCTTGGTAATGATTTTACAAGGATAACAACTTAGGTTCACAAGGATCCTGTCTACCAGCTGGTCCATGGTCAAACCTCTTGGTAATGATTTTACAAGGATAATAAATAAGTTTCTCAGGGATCCTTGCCAAAACCTAACATTAATAAATACTCAAATCCATCAGCTGGTGCATGGCCAAAGAAAGAGCTAAATGGACAGGTTGCGCCATTTTCAGTGGTTGTCTTTAATATATATATATAAATAGTCTTCAGAAGTATTAGAAACTTTCATGGATTTGAAGGTTCAATTTTCGACAGTGAGCTATGAACACTATTACTGATTGACTTAACTATAAAATTTCCCATTTCTTACACTAAAGTATGATAAGTCAAAAAATGGTGCATTTTTCCCTTTCAGAGTCATTGATTATTAAAGATGGAGTGAAACAGTGAAAATAAAAGATCACCAGCTCTATTTTTCACATGTTATCTTAATAAAAGGGAGTATAACCTACCTAAATATTGTATTGCTTCATTAGCTACTATATTTATCTCTAAAACTGACGTACCACCTAAATTATTGACTACTAGAGCTATACTGTCACCTGTAATATAATATAACATTAGTTTACAAGGACTGTCGTTAGACCCTAACTATCAAAAATGTAAGCTTGTAAAAAACGGAAAGAAAGTTTGGACTAATTTTAATTTGACTGAATATTTTCTATGTCAATATTTTGACTGACCTTTACATAATTCTAGATGTGTATTGGTTGATTGATTGGTCATGTGATCTATCATGGTGGCTACCACATCTTTTACTGGCTGCAACTAAAATTAAGAAATATAACAGTGATATTAAATGTTTACAGGGATAATAATTTGATAAAAAATTACAAGAGGAATACAGTATTTCAGTCTATATTCCTGTTTCTCTGAAAACCAAAGTTGATTTTAAAGTTGGAAAATTCTACAGTTACACCAATTCTTAATATAGAAATTATATTTTTTTCTTATTATTGATTAAAGATGCTTCATTTTTGTCTGTGATTTAAAGGAATACTACCACTAAGATGGGACATAAAATTGAAAATCTCAAACTTACTAGGTGTCATGACTAGAGAATAGAATTTATATATAACACGATATATCTATTAAACTAAATAATAAACATGTTTCAAACTTACTAGGTGTCATGACTAGAGAATAGAATTTATATATAACACGATATATCTATTAAAATAAATAATAAACATGTTTCAAACTTACTAGGTGTCATGACTAGAGAATAGAATTTATATATAACACGATATATCTATTAAAATAAATAATAAACATGTTCAAACTTAC